TACCAGCTCCCTGTAGTCGCTACGTGTAAATGGTTGGGCTGGAGATTCACGGAAAAAGTCAGCCATCTCCTGCTGGCGCTCCTCAAACACTCCAGGCATTGCGGGGTAGTAGTGTTTATTTTTTTCATTGTACACCAGTTGAGAGAAATGGCATTTATTATATTTCGTACTAATCTATAATATTGTTTTAGGGGTATTAAGATTGATATGATCGATCATTTGCTTGGTGTTAGTATATCTTGTAAGTCTAATAAAAGAAATTCCACTAAATTTGTTCATTAGATAATAATATTCCTTGTTATTTTGTAAAGCCGACGGTGCTAGCTCAAACATGCACCGATCTCCAAGAAAATTTACAGGGGTGTTTCCTAAATAAATACACAACTTTGAACAGCAATGTAGGACCATTTTTTTTATTTTTGGAGGGCAACGGTCACACCCTAACGCACATACGAACATGCAAACCTTCTGGATTGAGGTGCAATTTTCCGGACTTTTTCAAATTTTTATGATATGTATATAGAGGGGTAGTCCGGAGCACCTTGGAGAGAACGAGAAAAACAATTCCAATTTATCGAGGTTTATTATTGCTGGGAAAATCTTGGTATATCTGGCCACCTGCAAGTTATATTCTGCTAAGTTTAGTCTGTCACATTTTATAATATAAAAACTTTATGCCTAAAACTACCTTCACCCTGGCTGGGGGGGGGGGGGTGAGGTAAGGTGTTGACAGCCAGCAGGGAGATTACCAAGTGCTTAGTTATAGGTCAAATAGAGGGTGGTTTAAGTTTTTTGCATATAAAATATCTCTGAATTGACTTGGCAGAATAAAACTTATATTGCCAGAACTTGTTCATCATGCTCATTTTCCCTTAATTATATTTTTACTACCAGTGCATTTCACAAACTAATATTTGCTTCTCCAATTGCAGAAATTATCAGAGATCAACATAGAGAAGTTATTATCCCTTAAAGTACACGGTATTAGATACAGTATAAATGAAATACCCGCTAGATTAAATACTGTACTAAAGAACTGTACTGAACCTTTGCATGTCCATCTGCTAGCCAATCAGTTGCCTTGCTATAAACTGATGACCCTTAGGTCTCAGTGATAGATGTTCTAAAACTGAGGTGATCTCGGTGATAGATGTTCTAGAACTGAGGAGGTCTCAGTGATAGTTGTTCTAGAACTGAGGTGGTCTCAGTGATAGATGTTCTAGAACTGAGGTGGTCTCAGTGATAGTTGTTCTAGAACTGAGGTGGTCGCAGTGATAGATGTTCTAGAACTGAGGTGGTCTCAGTGATAGATGTTCTAGAACTGAGGTGGTCTCAGTGATAGATGTTCTAGAACTGAGGAGATCGCAGTGATAGTTGTTCTAGAACTGAGGTGGTCTCAGTGTTAGATGTTCTAGAACTGAGGAGATCGCAGTGATAGATGTTCTAGAACTGAGGTGGTCTCAGTGATAGTTGTTCTAGAACTGAGGTGGTCTCAGTGTTAGATGTTCTAGAACTGAGGAGATCGCAGTGATAGTTGTTCTAGAACTGAGGTGGTCTCAGTGTTAGATGTTCTAGAACTGAGGTGGTCTCAGTGTTAAGATGTTCTAGAACTGAGGTGGTCTCAGTGTTAGATGTTCTAGAACTGAGGTGGTCTCAGTGATAGATGTTCTAGAACTGAGGTGGTCTCAGTGATAGATGTTCTAGAACTGAGGTGGTCTCAATGGTAGATCTGTGCTCTATGGGGTCCGGCAATAGACTGAAAGCAGGCCCCGTTAGGGTGATCTATGAGTCAAACTTTCTAGAAGGTTCTTCGAGAAAGAAACGCTGCAATGCCTCACCTCTTCGGAATGTACTGCCGTTAACAAGTCAGCACTGTTGTGGTTACATTTTATAAATAACCGATTGGAAATGACCTCGTTGGCCCATGATTCATTCTTAACTGACGGTGCCACTCTCTACATATGCTAATTATATAACTTCATCAAATACTTGGGAATAGCGAGTGTGAAACAAAGTGTCCAATTTCCAAATATGAGCAATCAAGTCAATTTTTCCAAGATCTCCCTACTTACACAGGGGGGGGGGGGGTTGAATCATACTGTGGAAATCTCGTAGTCATAACAGTCGGCCAGTCAGCATGACCAAAAGCTGGCTGTTATGTCTACTTTAAGTGCCTGCCCTTAAGAACAACCTCTAACCTCTGCAGGTCAATGAATAATAAATGTTCATAAATATACATCCATGGTCGTAAGTTATCAACTACTTTCTGAATTATATAGTATGTATATTATACTGGTTACATTGTGTGTGTGCGTGCGTAGGTCGCCAACCACCATTGCTACATCACCTTACCTCTTCCCCCTACTGGGCCAACCTTTAAGTTGCGTTAATGTTATTTTTCGACTCTTACTTTCGAATGTATGTATTTTTATTCAAATTCTTTTACTCTGTCATATGAACACACAAATTTTCATACAAAACATTGAAATAAATAAAAGGAATTATCATCGTAAGATCAAGAAAAAATTATAATTTCTTGTCTGTAGTAGTTAGTGTGTGATTGTGGGAGGGAGTTACAACTTCAGGGTGGTGTGAGGTAGTGGTGACAATTGGTTATAGGAGTGTGGTGCTGTTGGTGGTGGTTAGTGTTGTGACACCAACATGTTGACTCACTTGGTGAATAAGTTGGGTGAATATTTATATAAAGCAAAGGTGCTGTTACACCGCTCGGCCACCACCAACCGAGTCCTCGTAGCTTAATTACTAGCTATACCTAACCATATTACAATAAAGTGTGCTTTAGCTGAGCTGTTGCATCTTGCACATGCTTTTTCAATGTCATTTGGAGAGTTTTCTTGGAAACTATTGTGTACCTAGAGGACATTTTCCTGTAACAAAATATAACAGTCAAGGAAATGACAAATAAATGACAGGTTGCTTTAATTAACCACACACAATTTTATGTCATACAATAAGACTTATACTTAATATAAACTTAATTATCATTCAGTAATCAACTGTAGTGAGCTTGTAACACTCGTCTTTCCTGTGGTGCCCGTTTCTCTGTGGATGTCGGTCACACTAGACTAACCCGTTATAGTACATGCTTCTTTCCTCACACAGCCAAACTGTGGAATGCTCTGCCTTCTTCTGTGTTTCCATCCTCTTACAATCTATCTAACTTCAAAAAGCTGATTTTCCGGCATCATTGTGGGGTAGATTAACATAAAGTGAACCCTCAAAGATTCGGACTCGGTAAATCTGGATTTCGGAAGATTCGTACAAAATTTGGGGGTTCCGGAGGCTAAGAAGCATTCCCAAAACAGAGCAAAAATCATCTTAGGCCCGTTTAACTAAGTTATCAGAGTGCAGGACACAGGTGCCTGAGACGGAAAACATAAACAGTTTTCAATTGTTGTTTGTGGGAATATTATCTCATTCACTCGAGTAATGATACAATGTTTCTTATTATGTTATCATACATAAATGCATGGTTTATATAATATGTTTATCACTGTGTCCATCACCGTTTTCATTTTAGACTCCAAAATACTGTATGTATTTTGATCGTACGCTTGGCAAAGGAAGCAAGTACGGGGAGTGAGTGACCGCTGGTTCGAGTGTCTTCTGTTGTTGTAACTCACGCTTTGCAGTATTTCACTGGATTTACTGTTATTATTAGTGTTTACTGATGTAATAGTGATTAATCATGGCATTGTAGCCAGGTTTGACTCATTCACTAACCACCAGGCTACTGGGCCAACCTGTGAGGTGTTGGGCTGTTTTTCAAATCGTATTTTTAGGTAGATATACGTAACTTTCTTTATTTTTAGTCAGTTATATGCACACACCATCCTACATACATATTGTGAAAAAAGGTAAAAGAAATCATTGTCTTAAGGGCAAACATGTATAGGGAATATACATTTCATTATACACGAGTTAGCTGGCTCGGTGAGGGAGCGGGTGGAGGGCGCAGAATGTAGGGGGAGGGAGCGTTGCTAGGGAATCTGCGTCCCAGCTGGTCTGCTACTCCGTTGCTATGATGAAGCAGGTAGTGTATGCAAATGGCGACTGTGTTAAACTCCCATTTGGCTTTTATTTACTGATTTGGCAATAGTATTTTTTTTTTTTTATTTGTATTAATTCCACATTTCCTTGTACTGTATATATAATTTTAGAAAACTATGGCTACAGGAGGAAAATACACACAAGTTTTTTCCTAAATACTCCCTGCCAAAATGGGGGATGCATATTGTATGCCATAAAATATGTTACTGTATTTTTTGGTGTTTTTTATATATTTATTATTTTTATGCATTTGGTACATTCGCCAGCTTTTTCAGACAGGTGGTTCCCCCTTTTAGTCCGGATATTCGAGGGTTCACCGTACTCTTTTTCTTTTATATTTATTATTTATTTATTTGTTTATATTTATTATTATTACTATTACTATTACTATTATTATTTTGCCTTGATAACTCAGGAAATGTCAAGTTACATAAAATTATCTGGGAAAATCTCGGCGCTCCACGCTTGGTCAGTCTGGTGTTTGTTATCATTGTGGTCAGTTGTGGCTGGCTCAATCTACCCAGTACCTGGGTGTGGGAAGGGAGGGTCACTACCTAATGACCTGAATAAGGTGGACACCTGCTGTCCCTAGGGACTTGATCTCACTCTCCTTTGCTGTATATATTAGCCATGTCAGTAATTACTCCTTAGTCTACTCATCCCTGAAGATGTGAATTACACGAAAATGCTTGGGAACTTTGTGTTTTCTTTTTCCCATATAGTTATTATTTTATATATACTGTGTGTGTGTATATATATATATATATATATATATATATATATATATATATATATATATATATATATATATATATATATATATATATATATATATATATATATATATATATATATATATATATATATAAAGTTTTATTCATTTAATGATTTATTAATTTATTTATGTATGTACTTATTTATTTTTTCAGATATCCAAATCCTGGTCCTGGTGGGATTATTGGACAGCAACAGCAAGGACAGGGTGGTGGCATCAGACCAGGAATGATGACACAACCCAACCCAATGGGTCAGCAAGGAGGACCTCCAGGCCCGGCTGTGATGGGCCCTCCAGGCCAGCCAGGGCAGCCTGGTCAGCCGGGCCAGCCTGGTGGGCAGCCACAGAGAAATGCCACACAAGCCTTACAGCAGCTTCTACAAACATTAAAGAATCCCTCGGGACCGCATCAACAGTCAGAAGTTTTACAGATACTCAAAACTCATCCTCAGCTTATGGCAGCTTTCATCAGACATCGCCAAATACAGCAACAAAGCCAGCAACAACAACAACAGCAACAACAACAACAGCAGCAACAACAACAACAGCAGCAACAACAACAACAGCAACAACAACAGCAGCAGCAGCAAAACCCACAGGGAACAGGAGGACAACCAGGCTTGATACCACAAGGTGCAAGTGGGATGCAGGGATCTGTGCAGGGGTCTATGCAACCTAATATGCAGCCAGGTGGAATGCAACCCAACATTCAACCAGGAGGTATGCAGACCACAATGCAGGGAGGTATAGTGACCCAAATGGCAACCAACCAACCCATGCAGGGCCAACAGCAGCCTATGGGAGTTCCCCCAACTCAAGCCAACATGGCACATCAGCAACAATGGTATCAACAACAGAAGATTATGCAATTAAGGCAGCAACAGCAACAACAGCAGCAACAACAACAGCAACAACAACAACAACAACAACAGTCCCAACCAGGTGGCTTCCAGCAACCTCAGGCACCTATGTATACACAAAGACGACAATTGAACTTCCCACAGCAGCATAATTTCCAGGGTGGTGATGGCCAGTTTGGCCAAGGTTTTCCTCAGCAACAACAACAACAGCAGCAAATGTTGATGCAACAGCAACAAATGAAACCAGTGCCACCATCTATGTCTCCACAGAATGTTGCTCCAGGCATGATGCCTCCAGGGTCAGCCATGACGAACCCGTCCCCACAGCAGCTGATGCAGACAGTGACTTCACCCCCGCCAAGTAATCTACCCCAAACAGTGCGGTCACCACAACCGAACCCCTCGCCCAGAAACCACGGTCCCATCCCGTCCCCACGCATCCCGTCCCCACGTGCGGGACCTGTGCCCTCTCCACACCACCCAGCTCCAGTGCACTCTCCACATCCTGGTAGTCAACAAGGCCCAGCAATGGGTGGTGGTGGTGCCCCAGGAGATTCCATGATGCTCTCCCAACTAGGGCCAGGTAGTGGGCATCAGACTCACCAGGGGCTGCCTCCCTTACAGCCTGCCAACAACCAACAGATGAGTGGTATGGTGGCCACCTCAGAATCAGAAGTTACCCCACAAGACAAACTCTCTAAGTTTGTGGAGACATTATAGTACCAGTGTGCTACTTAGCCCTTGTAGATAGTACCTTGTAAATATTTTGTATGTAAGTCATGGATTCTCATACAGACTACAAATTGTGATTGTTATTTTTGCAGTGCTTTTTATCTGCAAAACAGGAAAGATATTATGCTTCCTTGAAGCAAACCCAGAGGAATATTCTGCAGATCCTGAGCTATAAACTCATGCCAATTCCTTAAAAGACACTTTACTTACCCTACATGGGTTTTCTAGGCTTATGAAGACTAAAAAAGTAAACTCAGTGGTTACATGAAAAAAAATTGAAATGGAAATTTTATTACAGTAACTTTGTACAATTTTGCATTAGTCATTAATTTTGGGCAGTTGCTGTCTTGTTTATAATTTGAAGAGTGCAAATAGGTCTTTTGCCAAGGTATTAGCTAGACACTTATGGTGCATTCTAGCTTGCTGAACTACTAGAGCAGAATGTACTAGGGGATTGTGCCTGTACATTTCTGCACAATAAGTGATAAAAGGATGTAAATGTAATGGTTTTGTTAAGCCCTGTGCCCATGGATCTCCCAAAACTACAGACTGCAGTGCAGGCACAACCTCAACAGTGGCCTCCCTTCATCTTTGACATTCCCTGTAGGTAACGCACTTGCCCTGGGGAGGTCTGCTGTCTCTGCTGGTACTGTCAGTTTGACAGTGAAGGGGGAGAGGGTAACGAGGGAACGTGTTCACATGCAGCGGACCAGAGGGATAGCTGCTGCTGCTGCTACCATCATCCCAAACAAACTAGTACACATTGCCCAATGCTGACCCATTCCATTACCCCCCCCCCCTCAAACCTACCAAAGGGAGGATATTTATGTGGGTAGCAAGGCGAGATGGAAGGTATGTGGGTGGGGGAAGTTGCAGCCAGTTTTCCTCCCGTCACGACGCCTCACCCACCTGTCCTCTATACAATTCTTTAATTTATTTCTCTTTCAAGATTTGATAAGTTTGTTTTCACATTTTCCAACGCTCAACGTGATGTATGTATGTAAATTGTTGATTGTATTGTCTAACAACACCTGCTCATTGGAAGTCCCCGTTCTTGTCCTGTATAATTGTATTTTAATGGGCATATGAAATTTTTTAACCGTCTGGTCCCCCACTTTGTTATGTTTAATGTTGACCAATGAGGAAGTGTTGAACAGAGGATTTGATTATTTTATAATAAATATATGACAAATTAGAAGATTCTCATTTCCTTGAAAGCTACTGTATATTCCAGTATTACATATTTTTCAAGCAGAATCTTATTAGACATCTCAGGTAGGTAGTAGGCAGCTATCAAACAGGAAGGTACTTTTGCCTGGGAAGATATTGGAAGCATAATGTGTTGTCTAATGGTAGACCCTGCTTCCATATGGTATCACAAAAATTGTGACCAAGTCCCAGGTTGCTGATATGACTTTCTGCCTCATTTACACTCAATTGCAGGGTCTCAATTGTTTCTCTTACTTTAACAACACAACATACATATATTTTCTTACGTTTGATCGGTTATATTATTATTATTATTATTCTCTTATTCTCCTATGATATCAGTTAAGAAAATAATATTAAAGCTGGATCTCCTTGGAGGGGTCCCACTGGTCAGGAAAGTTGTGGACCCCAGGGCCAACCTGACCATCATCAAACTACTGGGGCCTCAACTGATGTCACCACGGTTGATGGAAGATTGGCTTTTTTCACACTTTATTTTCCCAACATTTGCTGCCTGAGATCCAATTTTTCTTCTATGGAACACTATTTATTAACCTCTTCATCCGATCTCTTATTACTGTCTGAACTTCAACTGACCAAAGCAGCTTCACCCAAACATTTTCAAGTCTCCATCTACAACCTTTATACCTCTTTCTGTTTTAAGGGAGGTCTATGCGCCTACTACAATACATGTACACCTATAGCTCGACTCGAGGATCTTAAATCTTCTCTTAATTATGTCATCTGGCTCAAAATATCTCTACCAACTATGACTATTTTTCTTTGTTTTCTGTATTGTTCTCCCAATTATTTGCAACTTTTTGACTCGCTTCTTGCCATCAATCATTGCTTGCCACACACCCTAGCACTGAGATCTTCTACTTAAGGGATTTCAATGTACATCACAGAGTAGCTTGGCTCTGCAAGGGATGACCCAGGTGGAGTTGAAGCACTCTTTTTTTTTTCCTTACTTAATGATCTGGAGCAAGTAATTAAACACCCTACACATGTTCCAGATCAACATGATCAACTTACTAACATTTGTGATCTTTAATTTACTTCTAACCCCACTCACTATTCATACTCAATTTCTGCCCCCTTTGGGTCTTCTGATCTCAATCCTATTTCTATTGAATCAAACTGGGCATGATCACCTCCACCCTCCTATAAATGCTAACTATGACACTATCGGAGGGCACACTGGCAATTCTTGCAAGAATTCTTCTCCGACTTTCCATGGGATGAATGTTGCTTTTCCATTCGGGATGCCTCGGTATGTGCTGACAGCATTGCTGGGGTTTTACTTGATGGAATGAGTGCATTTATCCCATCTTCTACCAAAACTTTCACTTAACAATCATGGTTTGATCGCTCTTGCATGTAGGGAGAGAGATAGGGTGTATCAAGTTATGAAACTTTCCTCCTTTACTCACTTCTCTCTCATTACTTCTAGGAATTGTTGTAAAGCTATTCTTCGTTGGGGCACGCAGAATTTTATAAAAAGGAGACAGCTGGCCTGATTATCTCTTCTTCCAGTAAATCCTTCTTGTCCTTAACCAAAAACAATATGTAATAACTAATGCACTCTCTCTTTTCCTCCTCTTTTCTTACCTGATAATTATATAGCCAACTCTCCCTCTGATAAAGCCAATCTATTTGACATCTTATTTTTCTCTAACTTCACCTTAGACAATTCCAACTCTATCCTCTCCTACTGAACCTATGAACTTTCCTATACAGTAGGATCTCAAGTTTAGCGAGTTTTAGATTCGCTATTCATATGTTTCGCATCACTTTTAAAATTTCCAGCCTCTCAGGAATAGTGATTTCCATTACCAGTTTCGTGAGTCATTGTTGAGTGGACCACACGCATTGTCACGGTCTTTTGTTATCCGTCGACCCACCGAGTGATTTTTGTTTACGGCATAATGGCAGTTAGTTTGAGTGAGCGAGCGGTGCAGTGACCTTGGATTATAACCCATTGTGCTTACGTTTCTCGAGATTCTTGTTTAACTATTAACGATGAGTGAAGTGCGTAATGTAAATGTCGAAAGCGTTTCTGGTGGTAATGATGGCTGTAGAGAAGGTCAACAAGGAAAGCCCCAAGCCAAGCGTGACTACCGTAAAGGGGTCAAGAAGAGGAAATACACCCTTGAAGTGATCAAAGTGGTGCTCGTACCTGTGAAATCATGTGTAGGTTCAACTGTCCCGAATCAACCATACGTTCCCTTAAGAAGAACAAGGAAGCCCTAACTGCTGCTGTGAATATATTCTCAAGATTTTCTAGTAGCAGAACATTCTCCGATACTTCACAACGAAACCTACTGTTAGTTATCACAGAACATTACCTTCACAAGTGGGTGGAAAGAAGAAACCGTGAGCAAGGCGACCTGTCTGGGCCACAGATAAGGTATCAGGCACGTGTTTATTATGCTGCAGTTACGCAGAAGAAACGTGTTGACTCTCCGCCACCGTTCAATGCTTCTGTTAATTGGTTGGCTGCCTTAAAGAAGCGTTATGAAGTCAAGTTTGCCCACCAACATGGGGGGGAGAGCATCGGCTGATGTCATAGCAGCAGAAAAATATCCACCTGTCTTTTAAACTCTTGTGATAGAGCTGGAAGCACTCACCTAAGACCACTTTCATTGCTAAGGATGAAAAACATGCAAGGGGTGTAAAAACTTCAAAAGACAGGATTACAGTTTTATTCACAGCTAATGCAAGTGGTGAATTCTTGATGAAACCTCTGGTTGTTAACCGTGCTGCCCGTCCTAGCGCCTACCGTCATTCCAATATTTCACAGCTCAATGTTTATTGGATGTCCAATAAGAAAGATCGGGTTACAACGTCTTTTATGCACCGATTGGTTTGACAAGCACTTTGTTCCTGACGCCCAACAGCACTGCCGGAGGAAGAACATTGACTTCAAAGTGATCCTGGTGATGTACAAGTTATCTTCCTTCCTCCTAACACCACATCGCTTCTGCAGCCACTTGACCACGAATTCATCAGTAATGTTAAACTGTTACTATCAGTCACTATAAAGACTTTCGTTAGCAGCCAGATTCATTAGTTGAGTTACAACAAATTGAGGCAGAACTCTCTGACACTGTCAGAGAGTTCAGAGAGTTCAGAGAGCCTGGTCACTGTCAGAGTCTGACAGTGACCAGGCTCTACCAGCTAACCAGGAGGAGAAGATGGTAGACGACCTGACTCCTAGCACTTCGCCACCTTGCAACCATGAAGTGTTATCAGTTTGTGAATTTTGGAAGAAATATAATATTTAAAATGCAGTGGACTGAATTGTTGAGGCATGGAGTAAGATTAATGTTGCAACAGTGCTACACGCATGGAAGCCTTTGTTCGCTAACTCCGAGATAAGTGGGGCAGAACAGACCGCGGCAAGCGGAGAGAGGCAGTCCATGGCGGCAACACCAATGGACACAGCGGAGGCAGCACACTCAGTCCCAGCACTGGGTTTTTCAGATGTTCAGGTTGAAGATTTGCAAGAAGTCATTTATCAACATCAGCAGCAACCGAAAATTGAAGAAATGTTGGAGGATGATGAAGAACAAGAAGAACAGCAACCAACATGAGAGGATGACGTTAAGCTTGGTGAACCTACAACACGCCAGCTGACTGAGTTGCTCACAAACATGGCACGTCTCAGTGAACAGCTAGAAGAATACGATACCAGGCTTCATCCTCGGAACCTTATGTGCTCTGCCCTTGATAAGGGTATGGAGGAATATAAGGCCTTGTACATGTCCCGTGTTAATGCTCGTCAGCAGGCCCTTATTACTCGGTACCTGTGCAAGGCCCAGCCTGTTAATGCCTTGGCAAGCATCGCTTTAGGATGATGATGGCACCACCGATGATGATGTTGAATTGTTGGGTGACTTACTGGTGGAAGAGCTACCTCAAGACTTTGAGGGATTTGATGCTGAGGTTAGAGGAGGTGTAGAGGAGGGAGGACGCAGTAACCAGCCCTCCCTACCTCAGAACCCATCAACCAGCCCCATCAAGCTTATTTATATGTATTTCAGTGTCACTCGTTTGCGATTTTAACTTTCGCGATACTAAAACCTGTAAAAATTAGTTGCGAAACATGAGATCCTACTGTAATCTCCAATTGTAGGGTTGGTGGTGTGTTATCCAATCTGGATGTGAGTAGGGTGCATGGACCAGACGGAATACCCCCTCACCCCTCATGTTCTGAGGGAGTGTACTGAAATTTTGGCCCCTGTGCTTGCTCGCCTCTTTTTCCTTTGCCTCAAAACACAAACTTTTCCATCTTCTTGGAAGCATGCCTCGGTTCAGCCCATCCCGAAGAAAGGTGACCATTCTAATCCCTCTAACTTCATCCCTCTCTAAGATTTTTGAAACTACAGATGAACATCGATTTAAAATGATCAATTTAAGATTATTGATTTAAAGCGACACCCACAATTAAGGACACTTTTGATTTAAAGCGAATCTTTCCGATTTTGCACGAGTCAATCTGGTGCATCATATTTTAAATTTCGTGCCTAATGTTTCTCTGGGCATGCTACACTGTCCTAAGGGCAAAGCTGTACTGTACATGTACTCAAAATAATGTACTAAATGATTGCTAAAATTTTTGTCTAGTGCAAACTATAGCCTGATTATATTCAAATTAATCACTATCTTATAAGAATTCCAGCAATGTAAATTAGATTCTCCCCTGTCACTTCTGTGACATTTTAAAAACAAAAAACTAAAACTCAATCTAAAGGATATAAATTAAACAAAAAATATTTCACTAGACCTTCGGCCCCAACTGTCAAACGTGTCACTGTCACCTCTTCCACCCCCCCCCCCCATCTTCCCAGCCAGGGTTGGGTGGTTATAGGCTTACAGATTTTATCATATATAATATCACAGACTAAAGTTAGGAGAATATAATTTGCATTGCTAGAATCCTTGCAAGACAGCGAATAATTTGAATATAAACGTCATATAT